ACATTAAGTGCACGCACACTTATTATATATCATTTTGTTCAGGAGAAACAAGGCTTTAATTTATCATTAATTATTCATATATGGAACATCATTTATTATGAATAAAATGTAAAAAAATTATCTGCTCATGAAATTTAGGTCACATATATACACACACACACGCATATCTACACACCTTGATGTATGGATACATGCTATTCGTAGGAAAATTATCTTAAACCAGCTTAAAGGGACACTATAGTCATTTGTGTGTATACAACATGTCCCAGCAATCTCACTTCTCAATCGCACTTCTCGCAATCTTACTGCTCAATTCTCTGCCATTCAGGAATTAAGTCACTTTGTTTATGCAGCCCTATTCACACCTCCCTGCATGTGACTTGCACAGCCTTCCTAATTACTTCCTGTAAAGAGTAATATAATGTTTATACTTCCTTTATAGCAAAGTCTGTTTAGTTTAGAATTTCTTATCTCCTGTTAATAGCCTCTTGTATGCAATTAAAGGAACACTAGGGGAGGGGGAATGTTAAAATACCATTTATCCCCCTGGCCTCCCTTAAAAGACCACTATATTGAGAGGAAAACAAACTCATTTTCCTGGCATTATAGTGCCCTGAGAGTGCCCCCACCCTCAGGTTCCCCCTCCCCTAGTGTTGGAGGAAAGGAGGTTAAACACTTACCTTTCTCCAGCGCCGGGCTCCCTCAGCGCTGGGGACTCTCCTCCTCTTTTGGATGTCATCGACTAAACGTGCATGCAAGAGGCGCGCGCCCATTCAGCCAGTCCTTAGGAAAGCATTCTCTGAAGTGGTCTGGGTGCCTATAGTGGTCCTTTAAATACAGTAAAACCTTATCCTTTATTGACTCGCTGTGTGGGACCCCACCCTCGATCCGCCTACTTGACGGACATTAGCAGAAATGACAATCTCAGCTGATCTCACCCAAAGGAAAGCATTGAATTGGCTGAGATTGTCAATTCTCATGAACTCCGCCATGGAGGTGCGGCAGATCCAATCCACAAATCCTCATAGAGATGCATTGAACCGACGGATCCCTATGGGGAAATTTCAGCATCTTCATTCACTGAGTGACTGCCACTGGCATTATCCCTAGTTAGCAATAAAAACACTGCTTTTTCTCTGAAAAGGCAGTATTTACAGTAAAATGCATGCAGTGACTGCCTATACACACCAGAACAACTACATTAAGCTGTACTTGTTCTGGTGACTATAGTGTCCCTTTCAATTTACAGAGCAGGAGATAGAAACCTTTACAGTAAGTTACATCTGATTGAAAATGAAACCATTTTGCAGATTGTCAGTCACAGCCAAGGGAAGGGTGGCTAGGGCTGCATAAACAGAAACAAAAGTGATTTAAATTCTCATAAATGGAAAGAATTGAGCAGTGATACTACAGAGGCATGATCCATACACAATTGGCTTCACTAAGCTAAAGTTATTTATATATATATATGCCTATGTTACCTAAATGCACACAAACAGATAAATATAGAGTAATCAAATGCTTGATACACAGATTCCTGTTAATGCATTAAAGTACACTAGTGACTTAATTTGCCAGGAACGGAAACGGATGTCACCACGCCCCATAAAAAACACACTTGGTTGTCTTTTTATGAAATAAATGTTTTTTTTTTTTAAATATACTTTTGTATTGGTGTTAATGTGCTGCCATATTATTTACAAATGAGTCAAGAGATCAAGCACAACACCCAGCAAAATCCATCTAAATATGTAACATGCTGAATTAAGTGGCATAAAAGTGCTGTTAATGCAGTGTTTAGCTTATAGCAGGGCCCTTCGTAGTGGTATGTCTAAGCTATTGACTGCTTCCCCTCAACTACTGCAGAATACGTTCGATAATAAATACAAAATAAAAATGCTTGAAATATATTAGATGCATGCATTTCAGTTCTGGCCAGGAAACTACTTCAGAACTAAAGTTAGACCTTACATTTGTAAAGGTGCCAATACGTTTTAGCAGCCAAGTGGCAAATAACGAGGATAAACATTTATACCTATACAATGAAAAAGTTATTACTGACAAAATCTCCATATTAACATTATATTCTATATTTCAAAGTTGTTCCATTCATTGATGCCTAAAAATGGAAAAACAGGGTACTATCCCAGACACCAAATAAACCAAGAGGTCAGTGAGGTGCATATTCTACAACGCAGATGTGCAGAGGTGGAAATTTCCAACAGCTTCATATTTCCTTCATATATAAAATACTGCATGGCCCAGGGATGTACAATTTCCACTAGCTTGTTACTCGTCCAAATGATAAACTTTAGCAATATTTTTCATGTGCCACAAATGTAACAAAATAGTAATGTATTTTCTTGGTAAAAACCATATGATTTTTACAAAAAAGCAGCAGAAGCCATTTTAAAGTCACTTTCCAAACTGTAACTCAACTGATGGAAAGGGAAATTAATAATGTTCAGTTATTTGTCCTTAAAGTGAGGCAAACAAAATTCCTTGAGGGGGGCTAGCGTACAAATGTGGATGGTTTGAATAACCAACCTGCAAGACTGATAGAATACAAATATATATTTTATTTATCTTAAAGCCAAGCTGACCACTCTTCCCATCAGTTAAACTGGTATAACTTATTGACACAGCTCATAAAAATCTTATTTATCACACAAACACTAGGATCTCTGGGATTGGGTATCCATTACATGTGACATTCTTATGAGTATGAAGCAATGTCTGAGTGAGTTTTGTTACATTTGAGGGTTTTTTTTGTATTGAACTCCAACTATACACACAATTCATATTGCACCCCATGCATATCACATTATTAAAATATATCAACTAACCAAAAAAAGGAACATTATAGGGGATGCCCAAAGTGGACTACAATCCCCACAATGCCAACCAACATCTTTGATAAAGCAGTGGAGAAAGCAGCCCAACAATTGCAGGTAGATACAACAAAGCTAACATACATACATACATACTTAAAGCATGCACGTAGTGTGTAACAGATATATATATTTTCATATTTTACAAACCATGTGTATTGCATGCTACCTTGCCACGAATGTTAGAAATATGTAGCACATTAAAAAGCATGCATTCCGTTACAGATAAAGGGTTTCATATTATAAAATAGGCCAGCATGCCATAGGGTTTCACATTATAAAATAGGCCAGCATGCCATAGGGTTTCACATTATAAAATAGGCCAGCATGCCACAGGGTTGCATATTATAGAATAGGCCAGCATGCCATAGGGTTTCATATTACAGAATAGGCCGGCATGCCATATTACAGGTAGAGAGGATACATATATTTATATTATAAAGAAGCATGCCATGTAATATTATACAATATTCCATCCTGCTATATGATAGAGCCGCAGAGGTTACAGTCAGCATGCTGTGTGATATTATACAATATTCCATCCTGCTATATTACAGATAGAGCTGCCCTATTCTATCCAGCATGCCGTGTGATTGAGAGATAGAGAATGTATATATATATATATATATAATATCACAGCATGCTGGGTAGAATATGGCAACTCTGTATATAATATAACAACATGCTGACTAATATATAACAGGATGGAATATTGTATAATTACAGTCAGCATGCTGAGTTATATTATAGACAGAGTTGCCATATTCTACCCAGCATGCCGTGTGATATTATACAATATTCCATCCTGTTATATATTACAGTCAGCATGCTGAGTTATATATTATAGACACAGTTGCCATATTTTACCCAGCATGCCGTGTGATATACAATATTCCATCCTGTTATACATTACAGTCAGCATGCTGAGTTATATTATAGACAGAGTTGCCATATTTTACCCAGCATGCCATGTGAGATTATACAATATTCCATCCGGTTATATATTACAGTCAGCATGCTGAGTTATATTATAGACAGCTGCCATATGAGATTATACAATATTCCATCCTGTTATAGCAGGACGTGTGTCATATTACGGCGAGCATGCCGTGTGTCATATTACGGCGAGCATGCCGTGTGTCATATTACGGCGAGCATGCCGTGCATTATATATTTTACAGGCAGCATGCCGTGCATTATATATTTTACAGGCAGCATGCCGTGCATTATATATATTACAGTGAGCATGCCGTGCATTATATATATTACAGTGAGCATGCCGTGTATTATATATATTACAGTGAGCATGCCGTGTATTATATATATTACAGTGAGCATGCCGTGCATTATATATTACAGTGAGCATGCCGTGTATTATATATTACAGTGAGCATGCCGTGTATTATATATTACAGTGAGCATGCCGTGTATTATACATTACAGTGAGCATGCCGTGTATTATATATTTTACCCAGCAAGCCGTGTATTATATATTACAGTGAGCAAGCCGTGTATTATATATTACAGTCAGCAAGCCGTGTATTATATATTACAGTCAGCAAGCCGTGTATTATATATTACAGTCAGCAAGCCGTGTATTATATATTTTACCCAGCATGCAGTGTATTATATATTACAGTGAGCATGCCGTGTATTATATATTTTACCCAGCATGCCGTGTATTATATATTACAGTCAGCAAGCCGTGTATTATATATTTTACCCAGCATGCCGTGTATTATATATTACAGTGAGCATGCAGTGTATTATATATTTTACCCAGCATGCCGTGTATTATATATTACAGTCAGCATGCCGTGTATTATATATTACAGTCAGCAAGCCGTGTATTATATATTTTACCTAGCATGCCGTGTATTATATATTACAGTGAGCAAGCCGTGTATTATATATTTTACCTAGCATGCCGTGTATTATATATTACAGTGAGCATGCCGTGTATTATATATTACAGTGAGCAAGCCGTGTATTATATATTTTACCCAGCATGCCGTGTATTATATATTACAGTCAGCAAGCCGTGTATTATATATTACAGTGAGCAAGCCGTGTATTATATATTTTACCCAGCATGCCGTGTATTATATATTACAGTCAGCATGCCGTGTATTATATATTACATCAGCAAGCCGTGTATTATATATTACAGTCAGCAAGCCGTGTATTATATATATTACAGTCAGCATGCCGTGTATTATATATTACAGTCAGCATGCCGTGTATTATATATTTTACAGCAGTGTAGCATGTAATATATATTTTACCCAGGTATTATATATATTACAGCCAGCATGCCGTAATATATATATTACAGCCAGCATGCCGTGTATTATATATATTACAGCCAGCATGCCGTGTATTATATATATTACAGCCAGCATGCCGTGTATTATATATATTACAGCCAGCATGCCGTGTATTATATATTACAGTCAGCATGCCGTGTATTATATATTACAGTCAGCATGCCGTGTATTATATATTACAGTCAGCATGCCGTGTATTATATATTACAGTCAGCATGCCGTGTATTATATATATTACAGTCAGCATGCCGTGTATTATATATTACAGTCAGCATGCCGTGTATTATATATATTACAGCCAGCATGCCGTGTATTATATATTACAGTCAGCATGCCGTGTATTATATATATTACAGCCAGCATGCCGTGTATTATATATATTACAGCCAGCATGCCGTGTATTATATATATTACAGCCAGCATGCCGTGTATTATATATATTACAGCCAGCATGCCGTGTATTATATATTACAGTCAGCATGCCGTGTATTATATATTACAGTCAGCATGCCGTGTATTATATATTACAGTCAGCATGCCGTGTATTATATATTACAGTCAGCATGCCGTGTATTATATATATTACAGCCAGCATGCCGTGTATTATATATATTACAGCCAGCATGCCGTGTATTATATATTACAGTCAGCAAGCCGTGTATTATATATGTTACCCAGCATGCCGTGTGTTAATGTGCTCCCAGCTTTGCACACGGTAATCAGGGCTGAGGCCTACCTCCTGGGCTCCGCTGTCATCTCTCTCACAGGCTCCGACCCGCCGCTCGGCCTTTCTCACCGGCGCCCGGCCATGCCCCCGAGAGCCTGAGGGAGGAGCAGAGAGTATGCTGAGAGGCTGGGCGGCAGTGAGGCCTGTAACCCGGCTCTGTGAGATCTCCCTCCGGGTGACGTGCTCCGCGGTGTTCGTGTCCGGGGACCCTCGCTCTGCTCCTAGCTGGTCTACAGACTGCCCGGCCTGCCCTCTCCTCCCCCCGGATCACAGACCCTCTGCACGGCGGAGAACCACAAACAAAGCAATAGCCGCCATCTTGTCGGGGAGGAGGGAGAGGTGGGACGCGTTGAATTGGCGCTTCCTACCACCTCCCTCGCTGCACGTCTCTGATTGGACAGCCGCCGGCTGGAGGGACGCTTCCGATTGGACGGCTCAGCGAGGGGGAGGGGAGGCGAGGGGGGAGGGAGGTGCAGATTGGGCCCATAGAGAGGCTGTGTATTCCTTTGTTGAGTAGAGCCATGATGAAAGGCTCTGTGTGCCCTGGGGGTATAACATGGGAAACTTGGTAGTTTTCCTAATTCAATCAGGGCAGTCAAACAAAAAATAAAGGTGGTTTTATTATTCTGGTTCACACTTGGCCATCCA